GGGCTGACAGACAGAGATTTTCTACAATCTCAGAATCATCAATACCTCAGATTCCGACAAGAAGGGACAATCTATTCCTATTGACCAGGTTACTTCCCTTCAACAGAGTCAATTACCCACTTCAAACCCATAATGAGAAATATCTAGATAGAGCAGCTGGAGGTGGGGTCCTGCTGGGTTAAAGCTGGGTCGGGCTGTCCCTCCATGGGTGTCCATGGGTCAGTCTGGATGTGCACCTGTGAGCAGGCAGGCACCTGAGAAGCAGGCAGTCTCTCACTAGGATGAGTGGACAGACACAACAGAAATTACAGCCCTGGTGCTGTCAGCCCCAGCTCTGTTCCCAAAACACAGACTTCTGGACTATGCAGCAGCTGCCCCAGTGACAGGGAACACCAGGCAGGGAAGGTGACTGGAAAGAGAACCTTCCCCCAAATCCCTCTGTGCTAGCACAGCCTCTAAAGCTACACACTCCCAGATCTCATACCCGCAGGAAGGAGTCCAGTGAGCCATTCTCCATGAACTCAGTGATGATCATGACTGGAGAGCTCTTGGTGACCACCCCCTCCAGGTGGATGACGTTGGGGTGGTCGAACTGCCCCATGATGCTGGCCTCACTCAGGAAGTCTCGCCTCTGCTTCTCCGTGTAGCCAGATTTGAGGGTCTTGATGGCCACAAAGATCTCTCTTTTGCCTGGAAGCTTGAGATGCCCACTGCACACCTCACCAAACTCCCCTGTGAACACAAGGTAGGGTGTTTGAACCTCCCTCACCTCTGCTGTGCCCCCCTAGGGACCCCTGGCCCCAGCTGTGCCCACCCTGCCTGTCCCTGAGCTGAGCACACCCCTCCTGAGCCGTGCTCTCTCCCTCTCCAGCCCTCCAGCTGCACTCATCCATGAGGAGCACTGCACGTGGGATTATGTGCACATGCAACTGATGGTCTTGCTTCTCCCACACTGGATTCCCCTGCTCCTTCTAGTCCAGCCTGGGGCTAAGCAAGAGCTTAGTGGCATCAGTCCTAGTGGCATCAGGCTAAATCCTCCCAAATCCTGGCACCATGAAGGGGCCTGTGCTGCTGCAGGCCAGCCAGCCATTCCCAGGTCACCTACCTGCCCCAATCACCTGCTCAATTTTGACACAAGAGATATCGATTTCTTTTGCAAATTCCCTGACAGCCTCATTGGGATCTTCGTAGGTGAAAGGATCAATATAAATCTTCATCCCTGGAGTCACTGCATAAAGGGAGGGAGAGAGTCAGACAGATGGATGCAACTGGAATGGTTGGCATCAAGGAAAAGAGAAAACTGTTTGAGTGATGGTCTTTTTACCTCAGCAAGTTGCATAGTCAAAGCATGAAGCAGAGAGAAACAGTTTGAGAAAGAACATGCAGAGCCATGTTTCACATGACTGTTAAAACTGATTTTAATGAACTCTGGCCCACAGGTCATTGTTGGGGCAGTAGGGAGCTACACTGTGAGCCTGGATTAGAAACTGCAGACTCCTCCCTGGGGGATCTGTGACCCTTCCAGGAGCTGTGCAAGCAGGAGGGACAGTCCAGTCTGCCCTGCTCTCCTGTCTGGCACCCCTGCCCATGGCTGGGTTCCCTCCTGGGAGCCCCAAGAGATGTAGTGGGACACACTAGGGAAATCACAAGACAGGTTCCTCTTGCTAGGCTGAGCAGGGGACACAGTGACACGTCGTGGGACAGGCAGTGGCCGAGGGACCTGGTGAGGCTGGACTGCTGCCTCCACATCCCAGCCCAGCCACCTGCACTGTGGGACAGCCCTCACCTGTGCTTTTCCCCTTTCTGTACTCATTTTCTGGCCCCTGGCTCATTCCAAAATGTGCTATTTGGAGAGCAGAGCTCACAGCTCCCTGAATAAGGAAGATTATTTATACGGAGCCCCACCCAGCACCAGACGCTGACTCCCAGCCCAGGATGCTGGTTGCATTCAGGGGGTTCTGCAGGGCTCACAGGCTCCCTGGGCCTTGGCAATTTGCTGCAGTGTCTGCACAGCAATCACTGCTGGGGACTGAGCAGGGACTGAGCCCTGGCCAGGTGAGATGGGTGAGGAAGGGGCTAAAAGGCACGCAGGCTGTATCAGCTCTGCTGCATCCCATGCAACCAGGCCTGTTCCAAGTGGTGCAGGCACAGGATGAAACCCATCCCAGCATGGAGCTGTCACGTCCCACACCAGGCCCCGGGAGAACGTGTGAATGTGTGTTTGCAGCCCAGACTGACAAACAACTGAGAGCTGCATTTACATAATGTCTCCTGAAAAGTGTCATTTTTCCTGGTAAGTGAAAGTGAGGCAGCCAGCACAGGCTGCTGGGGCACAGGGCTGTAGCTCTGCCTTTTGGGATGTGTTGCCCAGGTAAAAGCTGGAGCAACAGTGAGTGCTGAGTGGAAACACTACTGGTATTTTCCATGCTCTGACCAAGGCCTGGATTTGTACAGGAGTAAGGTATTAAAAGAGCAGAAATCCTGAAGCTGCAAGTAGAACATGAGGAAAATCACAACTGAGATTAGGATAAAGCAAGATTAGAGCAAGAGGTCTCTAGTGAGGGGGAGAGAAAGGAATTTCAGAGACATAAAGGCAGGGGTTAATCATAGAATCATGGAATGGTTTGGGTTGGAAGGAATCTTAAATGGCCTCATCTCATTCCACCCCCTGCCATGGGCAAGGACACCTTCCACTATCCCAGGTTGCTCCAAGCCCCATCCAAGCTGGCCTTGGACACTTCCAGGGATGGGGGAAGAAGGATGCACTGGGGTGAGGCAGGGTGTGCAGCAAGGCTGAGCAGGAATGCTGGATGTGAGGGAGTGCCTTGCACAGGGATGTTGGGAGAGGAAGGCTACAAGAGAGGGAATGTTAGGTATTGTATTATATACCTATCTATAGACATATATCATATCTGCTGGGAATCTAGGAGCACTGGGATGGGCTCTGGCAAAGGTCTGTGGGTTCCTGCAGGGGGAGAGCACTCTGCAGGACAGGGACAGGTCAGGGAAGGGGTCTCACTGCTGCCCAGGAGATGGACCAAGCTCAGGAGCTGGAGGAGCAAGACGCAGAGTGGTGGCAGATGCTGCAGCACAGAAGACAGCGATGCTTCAGGGGGTGCTGGCTGTCACAGAGGCCTGGAGGAGATGCCCAGACACCTGATAGCGTGCAGGGCTGAGAGCAGGGCAGGGGTCGGGCTGGGGGACTCCGGAGCTGCCCTGCCCGCACACACATGCACACCCCGAGAGAACAGGAGCACAAACCGAGCAGCGAGCAGCCCCCCAGGGCCGGGGGGCCCCCGGTACCTACTGTGGCCACTGGTGTAGTGCTGCAGCTTGTCCGTGTACTCGGAGTCAGCCCGCTCGAAGCCCCGTCTTCTGGAAGGGAAGGGAGAGCTGAGCACAGCACGGGCCCTCGGGGCGGGGGCTGCGCTGTGGGGGCACCTCTGTCCCCTCCCCGTGCCCTCCCCTGTGCCCGGCCCGGCCTGCGGTTCCCGGCCTGCGGTTCCCAGCCTGCGGTTCCCAGCCTGCCCTACCTGCTGCACACGATGCCGATGACCACCACGGCGATGAGGAACACCAGCCCTGCCGCCGAGGAGCCGACGATGAGCGGCAGCTTCTCCTGCACGCTGGTCTGGTACTCGGCTGGCACACGGGGAAAAAGGAACAGGTTACCATGGCACGGGATGTGCCACCCTCACAAGGTCACCGAAGTCAGAGGACGGCTCTGAGCACAGGCCGTGTTTGATTCCTGGCACGGCTTCGGTCCTGGACGGTCAGGACTCCCCCCTGGCTGGGCGATGTGTCCCAGAAGGGAGGTTGGATGGAGCTATTCCTTTTGGGAGGAAGGTTTAGTCCTGTGGATGTGTGCTGTGCCTTGTCCTTGGCCCCGGGGCCAGAAAACTGGCTTGGTCTGCTTAGCAGCACAAATTTAGAAAAATAAGACATGGCTCTGTGTTTGTCATCAGCAGTTGTGCAGGTAGAAAACAAAAATTTTGCTTCCTCTGCATCCAGCTGAGCAGACACATCCCCACAACAGAAAAGCTGGGCAGAAACTGGGGCTTTCCCTGCATGGAACGAGCACCCAGGCCTCTCTCCAGGTCTCGAGTATGATTTGTCAACACACCCTGGAAGGGACTGCCAGCAAGGAGCCAGCTGCTTGTCCATCCCTACATGTCTCCAGACCCTGAGTCACCTCTACAGAGCAGCTGCAGACTCACCTTCGGTCATGGTCTGGAAATACATCTTGCCACTGTAGCGGCCGTAGCCGGCCACGGTGCGCGCCCGCACCTGGAACACGTAGATGGTGCCAGCCTTGAGGTTCTGCACTGCCACCGTGTTGGTGGGGCTCTTCACTGTGGTGGAGTTCAACTCGCTCAGATCCTGCCAGGAAAACACAAAGCCATCATCAGAACAATCAGTCTGGAATCAGGTGTAGTGCTCCCGGGAGGGGGAAGGGCAGGAGATCAGGGTGGAGAAAGCACCAAGGTCTGAACAAAGAGCTCTTTGCTCCTGGCAGGGAGACACAGACTCAGGCATGTGAGTAAGGATATTCCTGGGCTATTCACCACCTCTCAGGAAAGGCTCTACACAAGAGAGTAGCTACAAAACTCACACTACTTCTCTAAGCCTTGAGGTCAATGGAGATGGAAACTTCTCTCTTCTGTGCCTTTCTCTTAGCACTTTCCTCCTCCCCTGCCCCCTCCTGCTGTGCCTTATCCAGCCTCAGCACAGCTCTTCCCCCACTCCCATCTCCCTTTGCCAGGAGGTAAAGCCCACCTGAACACTGGGTTTTAGACCTCAGGAGAAGTTCTGCTTCCACCCCACTGCTCAGAGCCTGCTTCTCCAGGGGCCACGGCCAAGTTTCCAAGGCTGGAGACCCCAAGAGCATATTTCAACGTGATAATGAGACTATTTCCAAACTTTTGTTCTGCCTCTTATCTGCAGTTTTTTAGCTGAGGACTGGAGCAGTCACACAGTGGTGCAGGTGATGGTTCCATCACTGCCCTTAGGAGTTGTGTCCTTCATCCAGAAGCACTGGTGGGTGGGCAGAATTTCCTCATACAAGAGAACAGGTTGTCCCTGTCTCCATGTCTCACGGACATGGAGTCAGCAGAGGAGGATGACAGAGGGTCCTGAAGGTGGCCAGAGAAAGGTGGCCGGGAGCCTGGCTGCCATGAAGTCCCCAAACTGAGAGCAAAACAGCAATGCCAACAGGACAATGCTTCTGGAAAACAGAGAGCTCCTAGTAAAGCCCAGCTGTGAGCAAGCACCCGAGAAAAGGAGGTGCAGGCACAGATTTTGGAATCCAGTGGCTGTAGTGACACTGAAGGTGCTCATCCATCCTGGCTGCACCTCAGGTCTGGCAGGTCAGGCTGCCCTGGCAGATCACCAGATGGAACAGAGGAGCAGCAGCTCAAAATCTGAGCTGGCAAGTTCCAGTGAGTCCTTGAGATCTGCTGACTTCAAGTCACTGCACAGGATTCCCCCTGCACCCTCAGGGAGGAGGGGTCACCCTGTGAGACTCTGGCAGGCACTGGCAGAAAGTGAGACATGAGGTTTGGGGATCTCCTTAAGTGTGACTGAGGGTGTGACCAAGGGACTGACCTGTGTCCCAGCTCTGAAATGGAGATGGAGGCATGGAGACACTTCTGATTTTCCCATGGGAACAAGAGGTCAGTGAGAAACTCCCAGAAAAGAGAAAGCACCTCCTCACCAACTTCTGCAGTAGAGTGCTGATGGACAGAGGGCAATGAAGGGGCAATCAGGCAGAAGAAAGATCCCACAGAATCATTAAGGTCAGAAAATTCCTTCAAAATCATCAAGTCCAATCTTTGACTGATCCCTACATCATCACCAGCCCATAGCACTGAGTGCCATGTCCAGTAATTTCTTGAACACCTCTGGGGTGGGGATTCCACTGCCTCCTTGGGCAGCCCCTTCTAATGTCTGAGCACCCTTTCCATGAAGAAATTCTTCCCCTGGCACAGCTTGAGACTATATCCTCTTGTCCTTTTGCTTTTTCCCTGGAAGAAGACACTGACACCCACCTGGCTGCACCTTCCTGTCAGGGATCTCATGGTCACAGAATCATGGAATGGTTTCAGCTGGAAGGGGACTTTAAAGCTCATCCAGTTCCACTCCCTGCCACAGGCAGGGACACCATCCACTAGACCAAGCATCCATCCTGGCCTTGAACACTTCCAGGGATGAGGCAGCCACAGCTTCTCTGGGCACCCAGTGCCAGGGCCTCCCCACACCACCCAGCCTGGCCTTGTATAGAGGTAATTTCGTGTCTCAAGCTGTTGGTTGAGCAGTGCTCTGGTGTGGGTGCTGGTAAGAGAGGGGCCTGGCAGGAATGTGTTTCTTCAAGTGTGGGACCAAAACCAAGGGGTGGAGATGCTGATGGCAAATTGCTCTGCAGGGAGTGCAGGGGAACTCTGTGTTCCATGTGGGGCATGGAGGAATAGGGCAAGGGGGAATGGCTTTAGACTGAAAGAGAGCAGGCTCAGAGGAGATATTGGGGAGAAATTTCTCTCTGTGATGAGGGCCTGGCACAGGGTGCCCAGAGAAGCTGTGGCTGCCCCTGGATCCCTGTCAGTATCCAAGGCCATGGATGGGATTTGCAGCACCCTGGGCTATGGAAGGTGTCCCTGTCCATGGCAGGGGGTGGAATGAGATCAGCTTTGAGGTCATGTCTAGCCCAACCATCCTATGATTCTGTGAAACACCTGGGAGACCTCCACTGTTAACACTATTCAGGAACACTTTTCCCTTCTAAAAACTACAATATCTGTTTTATGCATCTGGACTTGATGCTGAAGGTTCCTGTTTGTCACTGGGGTCTGGTAATTAGACTGATGACAGTGAAACGCTCAATTACAGATACACACAGACCAAGGAAAGATGATCCCACAGAAAACTCTTGGCCTCGTCTGTCTGATCAGGCCTCAGCACTCCCTTGGACCTTTCCCAAGCAGGCAAGGAGAGAAACAGGTCAGGAAATGTTCATAGTTTTAGAGCTCAAGGGCTTGGATGAATCCTCCCAGGCCCTTGGAGGGCACTAACAACACAGTTGTTTTAAAATCATTTGTCCAACTCTTTTGGAGAACCTCATCCCTGCTCCTGGAGGACTTTAAATTGAATGTAATGGCCAAGGTGATTGATAGCCTGGGAAATTGATGTCTGCCTTGCTGAGGAAGGTGTGCTTGTGATGTGCTCCCCTCTAAAGCCAAACCACAAGGAAAAACCATTTACACCTCTCCACCCCCCCTTATCAAACCTGTTCTTTCTCCTTGGCATCACCTCTCCAGAACCTGCCCATTCACCTCAAACACTTCTCCCCTTTACCTCTCTGGACTCCTCCAGCAGGCCAAGTGCATCCCAGGTGGTTTAGAGCCCAAATCCAAGCAGAGGTTTGTGGTGTTTGAGGGTTGTTTTTCCTGCTGATTTTGTTTTGAATTTGGAAATCCTAATTCAAAATAACACACTGGTTTGGAGTCTTCATCTGGTTCCCCCTCCCACGAGTCAAAGTGAAGCTGAAACCAAAGTCTGATCAACAAAGAAAGAGTCTCTTGAAACATGGGTAGGCTGTGAGACACCCAAAGGATTTACGAAAACTGCTTCTAAAAAGTCACATTTAAAAAAAATACTGAAAGTGAAAAAGCCAAGAAAAAGATGTCAACTGACTGAATTTGGCAGAGTTCCTGTGAGCCTGCACAGTGACATCTGCCATGGCCCCGGGGACAAAACCAGCAGGACACAGCCACCCAGGGCTGGGTGCCAAAGCATCACACAGCTGCATTTTGGGATGCCCATGTGTGGGAGCAGGGTCCTGCCAGCCACACGGGGCTGCATCTGTGGCATCCAAGCACCTGGACTCTCACAGGGATCCACTACTTGTGGGGACAGCCCAAGATTTGTGTCCCCAGCCAGGTATCCCATCAAGTGGGACAAGGAGAAATGGCCTCAAGTTGTGCCAAGGGAAGTGCAAGCTAGATATAGGGAAACATTTCTTCATTAAAAGGGTTTTCAGGCATTGGCACAGGCTGCCCAGGGCAGTGGTGGAGTCCCCATCCCTGGAAGTGCTCAAGAAATGAGATGCTGCACTTGGCAGTGTGGCTTGGTGTGCATCAAGTGTTGGGTGAAGGTTGGACTGACTCATCTTGGAGGGCTTTTCAACTTTAATTATTCTCTGAGTGTTTGAATACCTCTCCCCAACCCACTGAGCCCTGGACAGTGTCCACTCCCAGTGTGGCCCTGGGCAGGGACTGGGACTGCAAGTAGGGTATCCCAGGGCACCCTGGCAGGGTTTCCTCTCCATGTCCTTGAAGTCCCAGTTTTCCTGGGACAGAGACCCCTGCCAGGATTTGGGCAGCACTGGGTGAAGGGGCAGCCCCACCTCACGACAGATGAGAAGCACCAGGCAGCAGCTTTGGCTCCAGGCTTGGGGTTTCTGGTGTCCAACACTGCAGGACAGACTCCAGAATGTCAGAGATTCATGGAACCCCAGGGTGGTTTGGGTTGGAAGGCACCTTAAAGACCATCTTTTTCCAAAGCCCTGACATGGGCAGGGATGTCCCGAGTGAGCCTGGGACCAGCATCTCCAGCATCCTTGGTCCAAGCTCTGGGGACACCCTGTCCTGGGGTGCTGGGCTCTGGCCAGAAGCTCCTGGGCACCAGCAGGGCTCTACTGCTACCTCCACTTCCATACCCACCTTCACAGGTCCTCTCCCCTGCCCTTCAACCCCCAGCCCGCCCATGCCCCTGCTCCAGCACTGACTGGAGACATCAAAGGGCTCCTTTGCCTCCTAAAATCTTGCACTGGTGACCAAATGGGCCTGAATGTCTTCAAACAATTACAAAATGGGTGACTTTGAGCATCATCAAACCCAATCATTTTGCATAATGAGGAGGGCTAATTACTCTTTGCTGTGCCTGACACTGCAGTGGGTCTCCAGTTCCCACACTTCGGGATGAGTTTAGCAACTTTGGATAAAAACTGCTACACCCTTTCTAAATGAAGACAACGCAGATTTTTAAATAAGACAAATGGTGGCAGGTGCCTCTTGGAAGTGAAAAAAACCACATTGAGGCGAGGGCTACAGGGAGCAGCCACGTCAGGCATTGTTTGTGCAACAATCTGAGTGGATGTGCTCCAACTCCACGTGAAAGAAACTCATAATGTTGCCTTTGTACAGGCATTTTTAATGGCATCTAAGAATAGAAGTGTTATAAATAATCTGTGAATGGGAAAAAATTACACCTTTGTTTCAGGTATTGTGAACAGTGCTTTTCTGTCAACGCTAAAATAAATTCTTCTATTTTTTTATTTAATGTCTTTATATAGAAGAGAATCTATTAAAAATGAAGAGCTAAGGTGCTTTTTATACACAATGTGTATTCTTGGTGCTATTCTTCATTCGAGCTGTTTTCATGAAAATAAAATATAATTTTCTACCAGGGGAAAATTCCACCAGAAAAAACTTAACCAGCTCCAGAGATCTTTGCTGAGCATACAGAAGCACATGGGACAGTTTGTAATGAAATATTTGGAAGGAAATCACCTCTGCACAGACTGGCAGTGGAGTGAGAACACACCTGGGATGTGTCACACACCACATCCAACTGCTGGATTGATGGGAAGCAGGAGGAGGGCACAGCAGGGCCAAAGCCCTGGCACAGGTGCCCAGCGCAGCTGTGGCTGCCCCTGGATCCCTGGCAGTGCCCAGGGCCAGGCTGGAGAAACCTGGGACAGGGGAAGGTGTCCCTGCCCATGGCAGGGGTGGGACTGGAGGGCTTTAAGGTCCCTTCCACCCCAAACCATCCTGGGATGGTTCTCTGAAATACCAGGACAGGGAGAACATCAGCCCAGCTCTGCCCTCTGTGCCAGGCTTAGAGCTCCATGAACAGCAGTGCCTGAGAGTGGGGCCCTTGTCCCCATCATCAGGGACATGCTGTGTCCCAGCTCTGACAACGGGACAGGCAGATGTGGCTGCCTGCAAAGACTGGCCACCACCACCAGCACCATTTTGTACACAAAATTTCCCTTTATTTACAGCCTCCCCCAGAAAACAGAGGAGAGGGAAGAAAGAAAGAGGGTGAGAGACTAAGAAAAAGTTACGAGGAAGAGAATGTACTCCCTGAGATCTTCTGCCTCTACATTGAGGGTCCCCAGGGAAAGGACCCCTCTTGCTTCCCAGATCTGTCTTGTTATCTACTCATCCATCTTGCCACGTATTCTGGGATAATTTCCAAGGGTCAAAATAAATGGCTGTGATTTATGCAATATAGGTCAGGACCTATTTAACAGCTTACAAAGGAGCCCTCCCTCCTCCCCATTCTCCCTCTGGCTCTTGGTGATGAGAAAATAGGTCACAGGCAGGCAGTGGGGGGGATTAATCATTTCTTCCGGCAACTGCTGGGAAAAATATTTTCAGTTCCATTTAATCATAAAGCTTTTTAATTAGTAAGTTTGCAATTTATAATGTATAGTTTATAAGCTCTTGTGCAAGGGGGCAGATTCCTGGAAGGAGAAGTCTCCTGCTCTCCATCTCCCCTGGGCTGCACAGATGAAGTTCAGCCTGGCAGGGCCTGGGACCAACCTCCACATGCTCCTCAGGTCTCTGAGCAGGCACTGGTGGGATGGACACCCTGGCACAGTCCAGACTGAAATCCCTCTGTCTGCCTGGACAGGGAAGTTATGGAAGGAGCAGGTTCCTCAAGGATCAAAGAGCCAGAGCTGCAGGACCCCTTCACAGACTCCATAGTGCAGCGTGGACCTTCCATGGGAGCATGGGACACCTTCTCCCTGGACAACATCTGGGCTCAGGGTGCTGAAGAGATGCCAAACTCACCTTTGGTGCAAATGCACCTGTGGACAGCACTCCAGAAAATCTCCAGGATTGGACATCCACTGAGCGTGCTCCAGCCTGGGACTGGATGTTCCCTGTCATTCCAATTTCCTAGTGATGCCCCAGTAAATGAAAAGAAAAAAATAGACCCCGGACTTTGGCTACCCTGCTCTCCCTCCAATGGGTCCACTTGCCAACAGTTCCGTGGAGGTGACAGGAGAAGCTCCTGAATGACTGTGGGACTCAGATTCAGTCAAAGAAAGAAACTGAGAGTTTCTAGCCAGGCAGACGCCTGAGAAAGAGCTGGAGAGAATGTAAATAATTCTTTATCTCTCTTGTTATTCACATTGTTTATAGTTAAGTTCTATTACTGTGCACCAAGCACTTTGCACCAATGCTGTGGGTTGTTTTCACTTCAGAACCAATGGAGTTGGTCCTCACGAAGCTCTGTATAAAAGAGCAGTGTGTTTTGAATAAATCGGAGTTTTACTCTCACAGCCTTCTGAGTCAGAATCTATTCATTCCCGTCCTGCCTCGACAGCGACAAATGACCAGTGGATTTTCTACACTTGGGCCACAGTGACCATCACTGGGCCCCAAGGATTGAGGGTCACTGTCACCGCCATGACCAAATGCAGCAAGAGAAGTTTCCTACTGAACCACCATGTGTGCCCTTAAGAGAAGCTCTGCACCCCCTCCTCTCCACAAAAGCTGTGGGTGAACCCCGTGAAGGTCCCTCAGTACCTTCTCGTAATACTGCAGCTCATAGTCCAGGATGACTCCATTGGGCTGGTCGGGCTGGGACCAGGACAGGGTGATGCTGTCCACGGTGCGGCTCACCTGGTGCATGATGGACACAGCAGAAGGGGCTGGAAGAGAGAGAGGAGGAGGAAGGACAGTCAGACATCTGCACAGGTAGGACCCTCACCCCAGCAGGAGGGTTATTGCTGTTTGGAGCTCTGCAATTCACTTCCTACACTGGGAGAGCTGTCCAGAGGTCAGGAGATCCTGGATTTTGCTGTTTGTAGAGAGCAGTGAGGGGAGAAAAAAATGGTTCTGCTGAATTGGTAGTTAGAAAACATGTAGGACAACATTTCAAGCAGGCACCTGGCAAAAGGAGCCCATGGCTGGAGCAAGCACAGCGTTGTCCCACCAGGAAAAGTCCCACCAGCCCCATACCATGCACTCCTCCTTGCCTGCCATGGGGAAATAGATGTTTTTTACTTTTTATTTGCATAGAGCAGCTTCCCAAGGCTGAGGCAGGCTGGGGCTGCAAGCTGCACATGCCAGTCAGAGGAGGCGCATCCAGCAGCCTGAGCAGGCAACACAAAGCTGACCTGACACGCTGACAATGGAGAGCTGCCTGCCCAGGCCCCGCTCATC